AGCCCCCGAATCTCAAACCCCCAACTTCTATAGGAGTCACACACACATCCATTGCTCCCCTACCCCTTCTGGGCCTTCCGCAGCCTAGCCTTCCCCAGGACTCCCCAGGGACCTCCTTAGCGCCCCACCCCACCCCTCACGCACTCCAGTAGCTGCATTAGCGCCTCTATCCTGGACCTTCCTCTCCCCTAGCAGTCCGTCCGGCTCTCGGTAATCCCCTGGCCTCCTCGCCACCCTCAGAACATCCAATAATCCCATTTTACGCCCCTCTGAGAATTTATCCTCAAGTCCAAACCCGACTGCCCTCCGTTACAGCCCCCAGCACACACACACCTCACTGCCCCTCAGTCCTGTGCAGATGCCTTGTCGCTGCCTTGCTGGAATCACAAACCATAGGCCTCCCCAGCTGTGCCAGGCAGGGATGAGGACGTTGCCTAGGGCCTCCTCGGGGGAGGGACCGTGCCATCACTCTGGTTTTCTTGCCTGCACCCTTTTACCCCAGTGAAGGATCAGCATCAGTATCACCTGGAACCTTGTTAGAAATGCAAACTCCCCTCCCTATCCCAGACCTATGAAACCAGAATTTCTAGGAGTAGTGCCAGAAATCTGCATCTTAACAAGCCCCTAGGTGATTCTCATGCACAATAAGCACTGCTTTATACCAAATATACATAAGGCCACACCTGAACAACTGAACTCTTAAAAAATAAAAACACCTCCAACTCTTGTCCATGTTTCCTCTGTAGGTCCAAGGCATCAAAGGGTCCAAGAACCACAGTACTCACCCATGGAGTCCATGACCCTGCCTCCTAGACCCTGGGCCTCAGTCTGGCCCAGTCTTGCCCACAGAACTTTTTAGAGGGCTGCTTTCCTTCCCCTGAAAATATTCCCAAGGTGGTCCCTGTCCTGCTGGTGGCCACCAAGGGAGCCCCAGGGGCTCCCAGCAGCCTCTGCCCTGGGTCTCAGCTAACCAGTTCACTCTGCCAGCGGAGGGGGTGGCCACATTCATCCTGTCCCACCAGCCACGCTGGCCTGGCTCTTGACCTCCTGACCTTCCCATGCAACTTCCAAACTTGACCCCACCTGCTTTGCTTCAAACCACAGCTCATAAAGCCCCCAGCACTTGATCCATCACAGCAAACTGTTTTCACCACCAGTAACCTTTGGAGGAGTTTTGGCCAACAACAAGAGTTTTCACGATAAAAAAGCATCATCTCTTGAGTGGGGTTTCCCAAACTTCTTTCTCTCATCTTCATAATTTTAGCCCAATTTACTCTCTGCAGTACTATCACCTACATTTTTTAAAGTAAATTTTAGAGTTTGAGATATTTGAAGATTCCCATGCAGCTGTAAGATACAATATGGAGAGATCCATGTGCCTTTACTTACTTTCCCCCAATGATAACTTCTTGACAAAATTAGAGTCCAATATCCCAACTGACTACTGACTTTGGAACAGTCAAGGTATAAAACATTTCCATCACCCAAAATCCCTCATGTTGCCCTTTTAGAGCCAAACCCACTTCTTTTCCTCTCTCAATACTCCTTAACCCCTGGCAACCATTAATCTGTTCTCTGTTTCGTACTTTGGTCATTTCGAGAATGTTGTAAAATTACAGTCATAAGTATGTAATCTTTGGGGACTGTTGTTTGTTTTTTTTCACTTAGCATAATTCTTAGGAGATCCATCCAAGTTGTTGCATGTACTAATACTATTTTTTTTGTGTGTGGTGGGGGAGGTGATTAGGTTTATTTGTTTATTTTCTGAGGAGGTACTGGGGATTGAATCCAGGACCTTGTGCGTGCTAAGAATACGCTTTACCACTTGAACTATATCATCCCCCTCCAATACTTTGTTTTCATTGCCAAGTAATATTCCATGGTTTGGATATGCCACAGTTCACCTACTGAAGCATATCCGGATGGTTTCCAGTTTTTGACTATGATGAATAAAGCTGCTATAAGCATTCATGTACAAGTTTTTCTGTGAACACAAGTTTTTATTACTCTGGGATAAAAGCCTAGGAGAGCAACTATTGGGTCATACAGTAATTGAATGTTTAGTTAAACAACTGATAAACTGTTTTTCAGAGTGGCTGTACCATTTTTATTCCTACCAGCAATATGTGATGATCTGGTATCTTCACATACATGCCAGCATTCGTTTCAAGCATGTTTGTAATTGCTTGTTGAAGCATTTTTATCAATGGCTGCTTTAAAATCTTTGTCAGAGAATTCTAACACTGCTGTCTTCTTAGTGTGGGAATCTATTGGTTGGTTTGTTCATTCATTTTGAGTTCTTTCTGATTCTTGATATGAGTAATTTTTCTAAATCTGGACATTTTCATATTATGAGACTTAGATCTTGTTTAAGCCTTCTGTTTTAGCTGGTGTTCTCTGATACTGCTCCAGCAGGAGAAAGGGGGTGGCGCACCACCTGGTTACAACCAGGTGGAGATAGAAGTCCAGGTTCTCTGTTGATACATTGCAGTGCAGTGCCCCTCATTCTTGTTGGGCAAAGGTATTCTCTA